ACCGAACCGAAAACCGTGACCACGAAACTGTGAACCGAACTGAACCGTGGCTTTTATGAACCGTTCCACCCCTAAAATGTATATATTTGCGTGTGTATATGTATATATATTTTGTATTTACTTTATTGTGTGTTAATATTTGACAAAAACAAGTTTAACAGGAAGGTTACTCATCTTTAAGTTAAAATAAGTCCAATCAGAGGGAGAGGGGGTATGAAAAATAAGTTTTAATTCTTCATACCCCTTTTCAGACAATTTCCATTAATCAATGTAATTTCTCTGGCTGTATATACTGACCGGTTTATTAAGTGGAGGGTTTTGTTTCTGTTTATCTGTTTATGTTCAGGTGAATCTAGTTAGTTTGAAAATTGGTGTTTGGTTTCATTGATGTTAACTAGTATCTTTTGTGTGTATTTTGTTGATTCATTTATTGTTATTCGTCAAAAAATTGAAATGCATAAGTTCCTATTTATACAAAAATGTTTTGGTACAGCGGTAATGATCAAAGCTCGCTGTCTTTTTCCTTTTACGTAACAATCCATTCTTCTGGCTTTTTTTTAACCTTTGGAGATAAACTCATTTGATACTTTTTATTTTTCATATGCAGAATATATGTGGAAGCGATTACATCTTGCACGTAATGTCTGTGAACAGAGACAAAACTTTTCAGTGTGTTACACTGTATAGTACATGTTCTTGACCTTCTAAATTTCTTTTTATCTTTTATCTATTTCGAATTTTGACTACTCTTCTGAAATTATATTGAAGAAAATATTGCTGATCTGTGCTGCTGGATGTTTTTTGTTTTTTTCTTAGCTGGATGAAGAGCAGCAAGCAGAGTCTCTTCCTCCCTGGCTTTCAGACAAAGGGTCGGAAAAAGTTCATTTTCATTTTCCTTATTTTACAACCTTTAAAACTGTTCCATTATCACTGCAAATTCTTATGGGTGACAAAAAGCAATTACGTTTTATCGTATAATTTTTTGTAATTATTACTCTGTGTTTTAGGATAATGGCTCCTCTTATAGCAGAGTATGATCGACACATGGACGAAATGACCAAGCAGCTTCAGAACTATCAGGTAGAGCAACCTTAATGTGAAACATTCTGAAATTCATATTTTTTATTGAGCTTTGGATGCATTGGCAGAGGGCGCAGGCTGATGTGTTAAAGGGCACATTTTCTTTAGAAGATATAAAAAGATTGACTGGGATGATGAAAGCATCATGGTTGCCTGTTTGAAAATACTGATGTTGTTTTTACAGGAGATGATGACAGACGTGAGAGCAAAGCTGGAAAAGGTTGTGGAGGAAAATGAAAGGTAGAAAATATGAGCAGTAGCTGAAAAGCAGAAGTCAAATTAAAGTTGTTTTCAAATCAGGATTATTTGTTACTAAATATCTCTAATATATGTCATTTCCTGTACTGATGTCTCCTGCTAGAGTACTTTTTATTTTTTTTTTATATATTCATTTTTTATAATCGCTTTCTTCAGGTTGCACACAGAGCTGAGGGAGTCAGTGGAGAAGCAACTCCACACCCTGCCTGTCGCTTCAGTGGTAGAGGGCAGCACAGTAGAAGATGCTGTCATCATTAAAAACCTGCAGGAACAAGTTCAGCTTTCTGAGCAGGTCTGAAATCTCCTAAATATGATCAAGTGTTCTTTAAAGATTTTTTTAAATGCATTTAGCTGTATTTACCTTTTTTTTTAGTTGCTTATTTGTAAATTCTGGTTCTGGGAGTTATAGCAGGCTTGCTGTGGCATTTTTAATATTGTTTCCGAAAATATGATATCACAGAACAACAACTATAAGTTCATGTACAGGTGTGTTGTTCTTATTATTATTATTATTAATATTATTATATTTTGTTTTTTATGTCAGCTGTTTAGTATAACTAAAAGAGATGCATTACTTACCTAACAATGCTCAGAAATGTTGAACTCTCTGATCTAGGATTTAATCTAGAGAGCTAAATGTGGCCTCATCTTTATAAATACTCCATGACTTCTCAATCTGCTGTTCCAAAATGGTCTGCTAAAAGATTTCAAAACGCCAAGGAAGACGGTTTATTTTTGTGACAGTTCCTGTAATTTTAGAGATATTTATTATAATTCAAGCTTTTCTGGGAGAGACACTGATGGTTCAGGGGCCCTAAGCAGCAAATAATGTTGATTTTTGCAGGTTTAATTATCTTCCTAATTCTTACCAGCCTCTCTGTCCATAATAAAAAGCAACCCTACATAATGATACCTATGAATGATGCAGGGTTTGTGTCTTCACTTTGTTTTTTTTTTTCGTGTGCATTTGCTTATGAAAAATGAGTGTATTAACATGAAATTCACTGACACTGAGATACACTGGCGAGATCCATATTTCTTATGTATGAACAAGAGATCTGTGCTGAGGAGTAATTGGGATTGTACATCCTTTAATATGTATCCGTCTGGGGAAGTGAATCTTGTACTGTATAAAAACCTGCTAATATAATGTAATTGATTGCAATTTCTTTGGAAATTTAAGAGATATTTTTCATCTTAGATAAAATTAGTTGAGTACAGAGTAAAGAAGAGAGTAAAATAGTATGTAAGTTCCCAGTGTGCAGCAGCAAAACAGATAAAGAAATAGAACCATACCAATACACACATTGAATAATACAAGAACCAACTGTACATAACAGGAAAACAACTTACAAAAACATTACGATAAGGGAAAGATAGGTTTTGAAATTGGAACATGTATTTTATTATTGGAATAAAGCCTGATAGACGGTGTTTAACTAGATAGGTACAACAAGAAAGTGCTTTGGAGTAAGATCATGAATTAATGAGGCGTGAGCTGACCCAGACTCTTATCACATATTTTTGTCTGAGCTCTCACCTCGGCCGGAGAAGCTAATTAGGTAATGAGAGCATTCCTCCCATAGACATCTCAATGGACAGGCTCAGTTTAAAAAAAGAAATTAGTTCTTCGTAGAATAACAGGTTTTCATTTTATGAACCTGTTTCTATTACATCAATGATTACTCTGTTCCCGACTGAATTGATCCGACAAAAACAATCTGGACATCAGCAGTCGTTTCCTGCCTGCTGAAATCCAGTCGAAACCTTCAAACAAAAAAACAAAAACAGAATCGAATACAAATGTTTTTTTTATTTACCGAGAAGGTCTAAGAAAATCAAAAGTCTACATTAATGCCCCGCTTTGAATATGTGGAAAAAAGAAAAGAAATAGCAAAACTGTCAGCAAAACAACTCAATTCCATTATTTCTTGCGGACAGTAATAGCTCACTCTCTAAAAGAATTTCCTGCGGATTCTAAAATCTTTGCAGCAAAGATTTTTTTCTGTGCTGTGAGACAGTCAGAATTTGATGCAGCTGGATGCCGTGAGCTTTTGTCGTGACTAGCAGTTAGATTAGACGATCAATGTAATTTTGATCTCCGCATTCAGTTCTGAGCACCAGGAAACCTGCTGCTCTTGCTTTGTCAGAGATACTTCCTGAAATCTGTTTTGTTCATTTGTCTCTTCTGTGGCAGCAAATGAAAACAAACACATGGTGGTTATAAGAGTAAATGTGGGTGGGTATTTTCGTGTGTGTTCGTACAGGAGCGGACGCAGGCCATGGAGCTGTGTCAAACGACGGCCCAGGAGCTGGACCGCCTACAGCAGGTCTACCAGAGGACCATCTCTGACAAGCAGCTTCACGATACTCAAAGGCAGCAGCTCAAGGTTAACTCTTCTCTCATCAGCATATTCTACAAACACAGTATTGTACAAAGTTTAGACATTTATATCCAGTGTTTTAAAAAGTTTTCCCAGCCTTCAATGTTTTATTCATTTTGTTCAAATTATAACCACAAATTAAATGTGTTATTTGGGGATTTATGAAAGAAATAACCACAAATTAAAGAATAAAGCTTTTTCTTTTTAATGTGTTTAATTCATTTTGCATTTGCATTATGTAAACCAATTTGGTAAAGTTTAAAAGGAAATAAAAGAAAACAAACCCTTTATGTCATACAGCTCTCTATTGTTTAACCACTAAGTTGGGAGAATGTATTAACTGAACAGCTGTTGGAAAATCTTTCCATTTATCTGCATTTAATAGAAGAGTACAATGACGTGGTATTGCTAAGCTTTAAGAAGACCAATTTGCAGTGTGCTGCAAAAAGAACACAGTAAACAGGTTTAAATGCATTAGTCGGATGAGATTGTTGTTGGCAGTATCATGCTGTGGGGAACTTTTTAAATGTAGATGTGATAAACTGAGCTAAATATCCTGTAAGAAACCCTGTTAAAGTTTGCAATAGCTTTTAGACTAAAGTGCAGTTTGGCCTTTTAACAGGAAAACAACCAAAAACCTGTAGCCAGAACTGCATTTGATTTATACAGAAAAATGATCTTGTTCCAGACCTGAATTTCATAGAGAACCTTTGACAAGAGATAAAAATGGTCCTTTCCAAATGATGTCCATCACGTCAAGCTAACACTGCAAAGCCACCAGTGAAATACTTCAGAAAGGTGGTCATAAAAAAACACTGAGAATGCACCTATATGTAAATACAAGCCACACTTTTAAGATTTTTATACATTTCAGATGGTTAGAAGAAAAAACAAAGCTGTGATTTCTAGTGGTCTGTCACATGACATGACTTAAGACAAATCACCAAACTGATTTTTAACTTGACTGTATTTTTTTTTGCTGGGGGCTCACACCACTAGGTGGAGATGTCTTCCCAGTAACGGGGTTAATTAGAGTTGTTCGGTTTCAGGTCCTTCTCGGATTTATTGCAGGACGTAATTACTGTTTCTTAAATGGTATTGAATGCCGACCTTTCCACCATCACAGGATCAGCTCGTTCAGTTCCAGCAGCACTCTTACAAACTCCAAGCGACCAATCAGAAATTGGAATCGGTAAGTAATGCTTAATTAAAAGTGTGTTAAATTGCTCCCTCCCAATTAGCCCTGGGATCGAAATGCTTTGCACTTTTCCAAAATGAACCCTGCTCTAATAATTAATCTTGTAACTAAGTGAATGGGTTTCTAAATCCCGCTGGTAGTGGGCCAGAAATGTCTTGTATAATGGACCGTCAGCTCGCTTGGTAATCCTCTATTGGCTTTTCTCTTTCCCCACAACACATAGCAACTTTCCCTCACCTGAATTCAGACACAGCAACACTACAGAATATACAGCTCTGTTTCAAACAGTGTCACCAAGCTTTAGCCTATCTATGGGTAGATATTTCCTCACCAGAATACACATGTGCCTACTTTAATTGACATGCTGTGTGTGATGGGACTGTATAGTAATACTATATCTGTAATGCATTTTTAATGTGCGTTTAAGCCCTGGGCTTTCCCCTCACTGACTGTTCATGCAAGCTGTCTTTTTTCTTTTTTTCACCTACTGCATATGAGAGCAGTTTACTTTGTAGCGGTGAATGACTGATACAGGCTCCTTAGGGTTTGTTCTGAAAGGACATGGAGACATGGAAAGTTTTAAGCAAGAAGTTTTGCTGAGAAGTTCCTTCTGACAGAAAGTTTTAGAGCGCTGTGTTTGGGAGCTATGCCGCACAATTGGCATTCTTGTCTTTCTTGCCACACACAGACGAACCAGCATCTCCTGAAGACGGTCATAGAGCAGAGCTCAGAAATGGAGGAGCTGCACTGCCAACTCAGGTAACAAAAACACCCTTGAGATTCAAAGCTGCTGCTGCTGCCAAAGGGTCTTGTTTCATTGTGGATTCAAAACACAAGGCAGGCTTCATGCCGCAGTCCTTCTTGTACCTCTTTGACAACAATTTCCCATCCAATTTGTGGATTAAAGATAAGTGTAAAAACATTTTTTCATCTGCTGCAACCTGTTCACAAGGGCAAAGAAAAGCAGCTAAATTAGCATCCGCCTAACCCTATTATTTCTGTATTGTCTTTGCTTTTCCTCAGGTAATCTGAAAAAAGAATTCCCAGCAAACATGCCTGCATAATTCCATTACTAATATTTCCTTAATTAAGTATTTAATTGGATCATAAGCCAGGCAATAGCTAAAACATAATCATTTAATGCTAATTATTTCAAAATAGCAAATAATTGCCCTAATTAATCCCTTTGCACTGGATAACTTTAGTTGGTGAGGCAGTTTGGGCTTCATTTAAATGAGATTAAATTTTGATTTCTTTACTTTGCCCTCAAGTTAAAAGTTAAGTGTCCTCTGTATACAAGGCATCTACCAATAAGGGATCAGTTCTACATCAGATCTTGCTGTCTGTGTCATGTTACCCCCTGGTAGTCTAAGAAGTTACCGCTCAGAGTAATCAGATCTGCGAAGAAGACTTCCTGTTACAACACAGCATGTCACCTTTGCTTCTTTGTCTTAATATGCAATAAAGACAAAGGTCATTTCAATTTAAAGTCTTTTGCTTTTCAGAGCAAATAAGTCATTTCTAAATACGCAGAGACTTTAGGCCTACAACCCTTTTGGAAATGGAAATTAACCACCTATTATGCTTACAGCACTTATTGGTTTTACTTTGTCTGCTGTGAGTATAAAACATCTGCTGATGTCTGGAAATTAAAGCTGAAACAGTAAAAAGCAATATTCGATAATGTGAAATGATAAGGATTTAACTTTCATTAATAAATACATTTTTTAATGTAAATGCCTCCGCTGGTTTCATAGCAAATGTTAATCTCAGATAACCAGTTATTTGTCCAACTTATTTCCATCCTTATTTCCAAACCTTATTTCCATCTCAGCAACAACAAAAAAATACCAAGCTTTTGTAAAACTGTAAATCACATCTTAGTCTTATGTTTATATATGATCACCATGTTTACATTTCCTCACTGCTGCAATTTAGAAATAGAAATGTCTTGAGAGCTCTACTGAACGAAATTTTGTTTTGTATAAACTCTGTGTACAAAATGCCAATAAAGTCTAAGTCTAAAGGGAAGCGTAATGCATGGTATTTAAATAGTTCACAAACATTTATTGCATTCCAGTCTTTTTTTTTTTACAATGTGCATTTATGATATACTGCACAACACAACTGTAAAAGGAGTTATTAAATATATACAGGCTGTATGTAAATGTTTCTCTTTAATATCTATCCAGGCTAAAAGGCTGCGGCTGCAAACTTGTTTTCTTCGTCTTTGAATTAATTGAATGCCAGCTTTTATTATCAGTTCCCTAATGTCATTTAAAGCCACAATGTAGGTATTCTTATTTCGAACTGATTTTATTTTAGGTCTCAGAAGTGAATTATTGTGAGTAAACCACTGTAACTGCTTATGGACTTAGGAGTCCGTAAGAGGAAGGAGGCTATTGGCCTAGTGGTTAGAGCAGTGTTCTTTTGCTCTGAGAAGGTTGAAAGTACCCGGTTCAATCCCCGCAGCCTGCACTCTAGGTCTCTGAGCAAGACCCTTAACCCCACACGGCTCCCCGGGCGCCGCACAATGGCAGCCCAATTTTCCCCAAGTTGATGGTTTAACTGCAGAGAGTTAATTTCTCTGTTGTAAGATCAATGAAGTTCAATATCTATCCTTTCTAAGAGGTTAAAGCAGTGTCATGAAACATCACTTTAACAGAGTTCAATGTTGACAGCAACATGATGGCAGTTTACTTAAAATTGAATAAAAATGTCATGTTTGGCCTGCAGAATCATAGTAGCAGAGATCTATTGATGTTTTATTTTTATTTTTTCATCCTGACACAGGCTTCAAAAAGCTGGATGGTAGGGTATGCGCGGATATAGCAGAAAACTTCATAAGTATAGTTTTGATACCATGATTCACCATGAATGAATAGAACCAGAGATTTACTTTATAAATATATAAAGATACTTTATAAATATCAAGGAATATGAGGAAAGTAAGCTTGAATGTCTGCAAGATCAATGCTTTCCTCTATGGACCATACTGTCACTCTTTAATGTAAGTTTTGAAATGGTTTGAGATGTTTTCATTGATGCAACAGAGTCAAAAACTGACCCCAAATTGGAGTTCATTAGGTTATTGGGCTTTTTGGCACATTTTAATTGTAATCACCCCTCACTCCCTTTAATTGCAACAACCCCTCAGCATATATGGGACCTTACATTGTATTCTCTCTTATTTGATGGGTCAGGCAGTCCAACATTGAACTCAAGACAGCCACAGCCAAAGTGGATGAGATGACCAAAGTCATACAGAATCTCAAGGAGCAATTGCAAAGAAGAGTAAGTACATCTAAGTAAAACATTTCTCAACAGTATTAATAGGAACAGTTTGAAAACACATTAGAGCTCAGTTGCAAACAGATATCATTGTGTTTATCCCTACTAATACAGGGTGGGTAATGTGTTGGGAACAAAAGGATGCCATTTTGATGAAAATGAAAAATATCAACCCACAGAGGGCTTAATCCAAAGTCACTTAGAAATGGCAATTTGCGGAAATATTTTGCAGAAACCCAAATGGGTATTATGTAAGTTTTATGGCTCCAACATGCTTGTATGCATCCTTAAAATCATTAGGGTAAGCTCCTTTGAAATAAAGGATGGAGTTCTGAAGCATCTCCTCCCAGATCTGGCCAAGACCTCACAGAGCTCCTGGACAATATGAGATGCAGCATCTGATGATTTCCCAGAAATATTGTGATGGATTTATTTTAGAACATTTTGAAGCCAAGTCAGCGGTATTCTTTACCTAACTCTCCCATGTTCCCATGCTCTTCCTGCATGATGCTGAAAATGGTCAAGAACCAGGAGAAGCCCAATACACCATGGAAGGGTCAAACAATTGGTCTATTTTATTCTGATGCCTAATGGCAGTTGGCATTCTAGCATTTATGCTATACAGGTTTATATACCTCCATACATTTGCCTCCCTTGACCAACATTTACCCTCCACCAGATCTGTGGGTGAAAAATGTTGCAGATAGCCTAATGGCCACAGAGCTTCCTCAGACCTTTACAGACATGTGACATGAGTGAAGCCATCTTCATCTGTGAAAACAAAACCGAATGCCAATGCCAACCTAGCCAATCCCAGTGCTCTCAGCTAAATGCCAGCCAAGGGTAATGAACACATTGGCCCACTAGAGGATGTTGGTTCTTGGTTGTAATGATTTGCCCAGAGAGGTTGATGCCAATATACCACTTGATTCCCCTTTTTGTGTCTCCTGTCCCTCCTTGAACATAGAGGAGGTTACCAGTATTTTTTATGAGTGAAGGGGCTTAGACAGCCCTCTCCAAGAGTATCCACCTTTCTCCTACAAACCTATCCATACTCTTGAGCCTATGCTTGGAGACACAACAAACCTTTTAGGCAATAACACCTATTAATGTGCATTCCTTGTGGTGATTTTATTTTATTTTTTACTTTTTTGCAACCTCTGCAAGATCTGGGTATTGCCCCAGATTACCCGTAGTGAGAGAGACCCTGCTCAAACTGTTCAGCTGCTAAAAGTTTTTAAGATAATTAAGCAAATGAATGTTTATGACCTCCAACTGCCCAACTGATACAAAGACAGGGGGAAAAAATCCTGCTTTTTAAGGGTTGTCTCCTTTTTAGTGCACCTGTTATTGATTTGGTCTAACACCGAAAGAGTTGACACTGATTAAAAACCCCTTCTGTTACTTAACTACCCAGATCAATAGTCCAGAAGATTTACTGACTTGATATCATGCTCTGATTAAAGAGTGTCTCTTCAAAGATCCAGCAAACTTTTTTGGGAATAAAGAGGAGCCAACATTAAAGTATTAGTTTGCATATGAAACTCTGTGTGATCATTTTGTGGATGATTTCTGATCAAGCTGGAGCTGAATGCCAATATGTTCCTCACTTCTTGGAAGACTTTTTTAAAGAGTCTGGTAGCTTTACTGTTATACTTGTGGATTTAGGAGGAAGACATAACTGTAGCTAAGGACAGGGAGGACAGCGCAGACAGGCGACTCCAGCAGCTTCAAACAACCCTGAGCCAACTGGAAACCCGGTAAGCACATTTTTGACCTGCTTTTACTTCATCAGTAATCACCTGTCTGTTCACACAACAGTGTGTCAGGAAGCCAAGAAGGTACTGTTCTGTCGATTTTTAAAGTATACCGCAATATTGATCTGATGGGAAGTCACTGAGTTTCACATCTGAGTTTTAAGTGTCACAAAGCCAAGCAGCAGCTCTTACTCTCTTTACTGCTGCCTTTCACTGTTTTTCTTCCTTTACAGGCTAAAGGCTGCATCTCTGGAGGCTGAGGCAGTTCACAGAGAGCAAGCTGTGTGGGAGAGAAAGGTGGGGGAACTCCAGGCTCTTTGCACCACCCTAGAAGAGGAGAAGTTCGAGGCTCATTGCAAAGTCAGGGAGAATGTTCAAATGGCTGAAGAGGCTGTTTTACAGAAGGAGCAGGTTGCCAGTCTTATCTTTCCATTGTTGTTTTGTCCTATCTGAGTCTTCCTTTCAATCAGTTACAGCATTTCCTCACAGCTCTCTCATTCTCTTAGAAATCCTCCCTCTGAAATCTGTGCTTTTTCCTCCATTTACTTTACCCTGTAGTCCCTTTTAAGAGAAAAACAGAAGACAGAGGAACTAGAAAAGACAAAGCAGGCCATCAAACACTTGATCCAGGAGGCTGCAGTCCGAACCAGGAAGGAGGTACAAAATTAGGAGATTTTTTAAATGAACCTTTCTATGTTTTAGCAGTATAAATTGCACCATTCATTGCAAGCATCAGCTGACATTTGATAATAAATGAATGATGATGAATAAAAATCAAATAATCAATTATTAATGCTTAGCATTTTTTAAACACACTGATTAAATAGACTGACACATTGATGGTTTCTTCACAGTCTGAAAATGTATAGACTTAGATTTGAGGAGTTTTCCCATTTAGATGGGTATGTAGAAAGAAAAGCATTCATTTAATTTGCTGATGAAGATTCTCAGTCATCCAGGTCATAGTCATTCAGTAAAAGTTCAAAAATTATCCACTGGACTTGGTTTCCAAGATTTGAAGCAATTTGGTATATGAAAAAAAACAATTTTCTTTATTGCTTTAGATCAGGGATCCAAAACAATTTTCAGTTTGCTTCAATTCATTTATAATAAAACAAGGTAAAAAAAAAAAAAAGCCAAGGAAGAAGAGAAAAAAAAAAAAAAACATATATTTATATTATGCAGTTTTGGAATTTGATATTTCTAGGGACTTTTTTCAACCTTATAAGCTGTTGAGTTGGTGCTCTATGAAGGTCCACCACTGCTAGGCAGAAATGAAACAGTGGTCAAAGAGGACACCTCAAGGCTTGGACTTTCTGAGTTTAAGGATTCACATGCATATCCTGTTTTTTTATACCTTCCAGGTACCTAATTTTAAAAATTACTTCCAGAGTCATAAAACTTTTTTCTTCATTTACTTTTTTGATTATGTATTTTGCTCATTTCCCTTATTGGAAAACACTCAAGGGAAGGACAACCATGTACAATGAAGTATTATTCTACCAGTTGTTTTAGACTGAGGACATCAGTGTCGCTTTGACTGCTAAGCATAAGAGGGGGAAAACTTCCACAACACCCTTCCTGCTGTGTGT